GCGGTGCTGAGGTCCTCTAGGTTTGATACCTTGCCAAAGAGTTTAGGAAGTGTTTTGCATCCAGGGGCTCATTGGCTAAGGGGCAGCTGTGAGTTCCCTGTAGCTCAGTGCCACCTGGAGTTAGTTCCATCGGAGAAAATACCGTTAGCAGCCAAGCAGAAAAAGAAGGGAAAATAAGTGCACCCAATAGGACCTGCTCAGGACACCTGCTGCTGTTAGTTTCTCCACTCCCAGGTTTGTGTGAGTGCTACTCTTGAAGAGGAAACCAACAGGAAGAGTTCTGAGAGGCCTTTAGCTCTAGGTAGTGCTTCAAAACGAGTGGATGGTGAACTGCGGGCAGAAAACACTATTTTTCATCAGCTCTGCTGAAGGATCCCTGGTGTTTTAGTGATGTTGGCAGCAGCAGCTGTAGCAGTGATCCACCGCATTCTGCATGACAGCTGGGGAGCTGATGTGACGTGCTGTGATGGATGGTTTCTTACTTATAGCAGCAACAGATCTAATAGTTAACATCGATGTAAAATGTCATGATTTATTGACATCCTTCTGCTTTTATTTACTCCGTGAAAGCTGCTGAGTGGCAGGATACCTGTCTTTAATTGAATCCCTTTTTACGTTGCTATTTGTTACTTGGAGGTGCAGCTGTGGACCTAGATCCTGGAAAAGTTGCGGAGGAGGTTGCTGAGCAGGTCCTGAAGATTCAGATTACCAGCTGTCCAGTGGGTGCTGCAGTTGGGCAGTAGAGTTTCTTTTTGTTGTTTTCGTGGCTCCTGTATCACTGAAGGTAAGAGGGACTTCAGAAAGCTGCAGCAATACTGAGTGTACCTACTTGCTGCTTTTGGAACAGGGGGTGAATTTTATCCTTTTCTTTGGGTGCTCTTGTTGTAACATCGAAAAGCTTTTATGTAGGTAGAGTAAAAGTCCTTATTCTAATGCATCCCTCTAGCTCATTTGGATAATTAAAAACTTTTGGACAAGGCCTGGGAGAGCGTAGCATGGGGCATAGTCCTGTAGGCAGCCTGTAGAGCCAGCAACATCAAACAGATGTTCTTGTATTTTATCTTAGTAATTGCACTCTACAGAGGTCACAGGACCGTCCTGAATGGCCTCAAGTACGCAGCAGATATAATGAAGAATGTGGCACGGAAAGAATTCCTAAACTGGAAAAGCGTTGCTCACCTTTTAGCCTATCTTTTATCTTGCTGTGCCATGCATTACGAGAAGAAATAGCTTGTCCAAACTGATGTTCTCCAGCTTCTCACAAGATCGTTCCCACAGTTCTGAGATAGCCCTTCTGTTTATGCAGCAAAATTGAGTTTGTCTGTCAGAGTGGTAAAGTATGAAGCTAATCTAATAATGTGTGTCACAGTAACCCACGTGTGTTCAGCTGTCACTGTGAGCAAATGTTTCTTAGTTCCCCACTCAGTTGCATATGTAAGGCAACAGATGTTTCATGTTCTTAAATGTTAAAAGGGCCTTGGCCACTATTTAAGGAAGATGCAGGATGATGTATGTGGTCTTATACACATGAGAGAACTGTGCTAAATGTGTAGCTAAAGTGGTTTCTAAATTGATTTAGTGAAATGAATGCAACGGTATCTTATGACAGACAAAGATGCTTTGGTTTGCAAGGTTGCACTTTTGCTTAGCTGATTTCAGATCTGCTGTTTGAAGAATGGTCATGCAGAAGAAACTTTAACCGTATGCACTTTTAAATGGAATGGATTCTTTTTTTTTTTTTCTCGTGCACAGCAGGTCTGACACTTTTTTTTACTTAAGAGAATTTATTGCCTTATGACAGAAGCAGTTAACCCATTTTAGATGGAAACTGGGATCAGCAGCTAGGTTTATTATAAGCTGCAGTCTGCTCCTGAGAAGCATGATAACACTGTGATAGTGCATCTCATGATGGTACCAATGTCTTTTAACTCAGGCCCTCGAAATCAAAAGCTGGAAGGCACCACGTACTGCTGGGCAGAGATGTGGTTACAAAGCTCTGATTCTGAGCTGTGAGGTTTACTAACAGCTTGGGCTCTTTTTTTGCCTCAAAACCTGAATGAGAGGCTTTTCTGTCATGAAACCTGCGGCTGGAGGATGCTTCCATGATTTGTGTTTTATTCACTGCTACAGCTGGTGGAAATTCCAGAAAATATTTCACTTTTCCAGTTGGGGTTAATTTCATCAGAGCCTTTTTCTGATGGTTCCCAGGCACAAGAGGCATAGTTTTCACTGAGGATCAGCATTGAAGTTGTGTGAATTCACAGTCTGGGGTTTTGCCTTGGGCTGAAGATGAGAAGTCATTGACGTGGCAAAGACAGTTACAGTTTATCTGGCCATCACTGTGTGCTGATGTGGATAATTCACAGAAAGGGGCATAGTTCTCTGTGTGGGTCTTATGACTTTCTTGACAACTGTAATACCCCGTAGGGAAGAACTGAAAGCTTTTTAATCCATGCAAGCAAATTTTCTTGGGAGGTGCAGGCCGTGCAGACTTGCTGTTCTGTGGAAGATAAAGCAGCACAAGACATGTGTGTAGATAAGAATTTCATTTTGACAGCCCTAACTTAGAGAGGAATTAGTCCACATCTCCCTCCAAGTTTGCTTGTGTTGACTCGAATGCTGGAAGTGACCACCAAAGATTAATGGTGCTACCAACAGAAGGTTTGCAGGTTAGTATAACTGGAGTGGGGCAGTGTCCTGCCTGTGCTTCTCTGCCCTCTCTTGCAACTGTAAGAACTGTAAGAACTGTAAGAACCCCTCTGCTGCTAGCGTTCTCTTCACACCTGCTCACTTCCCCTCACTGCATTAGTGGATTGCTGGTTTCTTTTTCCTTCTGTTAATTACCTACTGGCCTATAACTGTATTCCTTTTTCTTTAGTCTACTCCTAGTCACTGCTATCGATGCAAACTTACTGAATTAAATGGAGACAGCTTGCTCATAAAGAATAATGACCCAATGATGTAGAAGGCAAAGCATATTGGAAGTCAGAGTGATTGTGCTAACACGTTTTATTAGATAATAAGCAGGGTGCTGGGGGGCTCTTGGAAGGATGCCTTCACTTGTGCATCAGTGCAGGTGAGCTGCCATGTCCACGCTTCTCTTGGAAAGTGCTGTGCTCAGCGTTCCCTTCTGTTCTTGTCAAACTGTGTTTTGTTCCTAGAGTAGTGTCAAGAACCAACCTAAATGCACACACTGCTACTTAGCATTTTGGTAAAAGCCTTCTCTGTGCCAAAGTGCTGGGAGCTATTAACGTATCTAATGAGAGTATTTGTGGGGTGACCAAAGATGCTGAGCATACAGGCCCCGTAATGAAGCATTATTTTCTTGAAAAGTAGTGTTAGAACTCAATTCAGCAAAACCAGCACTCTGTTTCTGAACCAACTCCTACATTCAGTGCAGCGTTCTGGCTTGGTTTGCTCAGGCTGATGCTCCTCTGGCCTCGGGGGCTGTGAGATCCCATCTCTTGGCAGAGCACAGCCTGTGGTTGAAGGACGTGGATAAATGACACAGATACTGTCTGCTACCCTCAAATCCGAGGGCAAATACAAGCCTGCAGTGAAACTAGCTATGGCTTTTAAATCCTCAGCACTGTCACAACTGCTTTGTTTGTCTTTGATGGTGCCGTTTGTAATTCTGTGGAGATTCAGCATCCAGAAACGCATATGGAAAGATTAGAAAAAGCTGATGAGGCTGGTGTTCAGTGCGGCTCCTGAACCTGAGATTGCTGTGAGTGCTGTGCCCTGTTTGTCACAGGCTGGAGCTCGTGGTGCCGTGTTTGGAAGCTTGAGTAGCACAGTGCTGAGCATCTCTAGTGTCAGCCTTTGAGGAACTGGGGTAAAAAACAAGACAAAAGGAAAGGATGTTGCCTGCTCATTGATGGATTTAGCCATTTACCTTAAAGCAGCATTTTCATTAAGTAGATCTGTTTCCATCTTTAACCCTGGTAAGTCAGGGTGTAACATCAAATCTCAGTTGACTTTTCTTCTATTAAATTATGATCCTTACCTGTAAACACAGAACCCTGCTGTACAGGGGAATGAGGGACTGTCTGTGGGACGTGTCAGGCCGCCTGAGGAAGATGCTATAAAATGTCATCAAATATCAGCCTTTATTTAGGAATGGTTTTGTTACGTGCTGGGAAGTCCCGGAGTTGTGAGTTCTGTCTTGAGAATGAACTCGCTCTTTTCTGGATGAATCTCTGGGACAGGCTGTGCAGTTTCACATCCAGAAATTGCCTTATATTGGCAAGAGAGTAGAAAACCACCCACCCCACCAAACAAGGCAACTGCCTGAAAAGAAGTAGGAAAGATGAAGAGAAAGGAGAAAGTGGGTAGTCAGGGAGTGGGAGGCATCCGGAATCACCGTGCGTTGTAACTGCTTACCCTGAGCCACTCCAATGCTGTGTTACTGTGATGCTTCGGATTGCTCACACAGGGCACTGCAGCACTGCTCGTGCTCTCAAACTGAGGATGACTGTAAACAAATGGAGCTTGTAAATTCTTTACAAGCCTGATTTATTCATGTGCAAACATTTGTTCAAAGCTACAATGTTATCACAGCAATTTGAACTATTACAGTGATGTCCTTAATGAATAAGATAACTTTCAAAAAATTTTGTAAAGACATTCAAAAATGCTTCTTCTGGGAAATGCTTGAGAACTGAGAATGGCAACGAGTCTTATTTCCTCCAAGGCATTCAGGAGCCTGGTTCGGAGTATGCAGCTGTTAATCTTTTAGCCTGCATGGGACTGATCAGTTGATTGCCTGGCCATGTAAACGACGACATTTTGGGAATACTGAGTGCTCTTTATCAGTAACAAATGACATATTATCATTGACTGGAGATGTATCAGCGTTGTCACCCAGGCAGACCACCCATTACTTCAGCTTTTCTAAGTTCTTTGTCAGATATTTGCGTACGAGAGGACGTTATAGGAAGAATTTATTTTGAAGGGAAGGCATGCCCCTATTTACGCAGATGTCTGAAGCCTCATATCACTCAGACTTCTTTATTATCTGAGTAATTTGTGGGTGGATAAAAACATGCTGGGAAATGTCTGCTACCACAGTAACGGTGCATGAGGAAGTGAGAGAAGCTCTAAGTTATTCTTTGTGATCTGTTGTGCTTCTTGTGATCAAGTCTGACTGATTCTTACAGCTTTCTGCTGAGGGTGAGACTTGCACTGTGTGCGATGAAACTCAACAGCTGTGACCTGGCTGTTGCAGAGCCCTTACATTGCATCCTGTGCCCTGGCCCCTGCTCAGCTGATTCACTCTGCAGCCTATTAGTTTTGCTGGGTGGAACTGCAAAGGGGGAAAGCTTGCCTTGCAGTATGTGCACCAAGGCAGAGTTCGTCCTGATGACACGTTTGTGCCTCAGCTGCAGTTCTCCCATTTGTGCAGCTTTATATGGATGCCTCTGATCTTTGCTCCAGACCATGGTGCAAACTCCTCTGGCAGCCTGCTGTTACAAATAACCACTGGCCTAAAAGGCCATAGGGATTTTCATCAACTAAGATTGGGGCAGAAGCAAACTCATATGCGGGTGATCTTCTCCGTTGCTTTCACTTTCCAAAGAACAGAAGAGAGGAGAGCAGCCTGAGGCAGCTGAGAAACTGAGAGAGAAATGAAGCAAACAGGCTGCAATTCTGCATCTCAAGTGCACAGTGAAGAACACACAATGAAAGGACTTGTTCCTCACAGCACAATTAATTATGTTGCTTTCCTGACAGTGAATTCCCTTGCTCACCATGTCAAGAAATGCTTCATTCAAGAAAATAATTAAGTAAGCCCTCTCAGCAATGGAGGTTTAATGTCTGGATTGTATCTTGTAATATTTTTGACACTACTCAGCAATCAATTCAGTGAGCTGGTGTCTCAAGGGGCTGTTCTTCTGTTCATAAACTTAGGTTGCATTCCAGCTGCAACCTCACAGAGGGATATTTTATCCAGGTAAGAAACAGCTTGTTCATTTTAATGGGAGTGACTTGTGTGTCTTTTTCCTTCCAAGTCAATGACCTCACACGTGGGAAATGTTTTACTATCAGCAGGAGATGTGGCCGGCTTGGCCTTGTGTTGTCCAGCTGGCAGCTGTGTGACCTTCTGTCTGATCAGAGTAGGTTTTCCTCCAGGGGCAAAAGCAGTACCCTGTTTTTTAAATTTACTTGGCAGTCCTCTTTAAACATGTATAAGAATACTGAGATCTGCTCTTTCATCTGAGTACCACAGATCTTGGGATGGAGAACTGAGAGAATGTAGTGACGAGGGCCCTTTGAATTTTGGAATTTGGAAAAACGCTGTGGATATCTGTGAAAAACTCTGGCACAGCAACGTTGTTTAATTGTACTGCATCTATCAGTAACATTCACCAATGTCTGACATCAGTCATTCCTATGTCATTTTTGTGATATTTGTGGACAGAAGCCACAAGATATCTAGCAACAGCTAGTTATTTGGCCGTACTTTTGCATTTTTCAGTATTTAGCTGCTCATCTCTTTTGCAAATAGCCTGCACAATATGAGAGCTTGTTTTTCAGTCTTTCACCTACAATCTCACAATCCCATTCACCGCTTTGATGATTGTAAAGAGTGAGCTGCAGAGCTGTGGAGCCTGCAGAGTTTCTGAAAATGTACAACGCTTCTAGAAGAAGGATGCTGTGAACCCAGCAGTGAACATGCAGGATTGTTCACGGCTATGGCACAGATACAAAACAAGTCGAGTTTATTTCTGCCTTGGTCGTATTTTTACTATTCACTGTTAGACTATCCTGTCTAATGAACACAAAATCCACAAGATTCTTATTTAGGTGTCACCAACCACTTTAACCAAGAAGATGACAAAATGCTCTGCACACCCTGAGGCATGCCTTAGAGCTTGAATCTCCTGCCGCGTAGCACTGGTGCAGTGAGATGTGGGCTGGAGTGCAGGCAAACATGAGAGGACAGTCTGAGGCTGGGCAGAAAAAGTGTCAGAATCAGTCAAAGCTGCTAGAAGAAACTTAAGGTGTACTGGAATGCATTTTCTAATGTCAAAAGTACCATCTTCTCTGTCAAGCCTGCTCTGTCTCCACAGAGTGCCTCTATAATTGTTTCCTTTGGGGCTGAAATCACTTTCTTTTATCACTGATCCTGCAGTTGAGTCTTCTTACAGGAGAACCAGCGTGTCACAGTTCAGCATTATCTGCACTACAATTATTACATATGTATAATATAGATAATATGATTATTTGTACTCGTGCAAGTTCTCTCATCCTTTTAATTTCAGATTTATGTTAAATTACATACACCTTTATGGGGTAACTGCCTCCCAGAGCATGTCAGCTGAAGAATTGAAGGTGAAAGATGAGAGCATTAGCACCCAACACTTTCTGTAAATATCAGGGTGCTTTTCAGTACTTCAGCAACTTTGCTCACTCCACTGATGGCAAAGAACTTCAATGAGAACAGAGGAGTCTGAAGGGTTGTAAGTCTGGTACAAAGCAGAACGTGAAAGCTGCTTCATTTGTTAAAAGACCACAGCTCAGGGATCTGCATAAAGCTGTGATGTTTAGGCAGTCAGAGTTCATTCTTGCAATCAAACCCTTTATATCCTACAGAGACGTCCATTTTATATCGCTATAAAGGATCCTGAAAAGGATTCCTCTCACACTTCCAAGCCTGCAAATGGGAGAAGTGTACTGAACCTGAGAGACAGTTTTGGGGTTGATCAGCCTGTCTTCTGGCAGAGTGGCAAAGGATATAACTAAACAGAATGACCATAGAACAGATAGAGGGAAGATACGTTGGGAGCCCTTACATACATTTTCTTCTTCTCCCCCTCGGCTCTTTCTTTCAGTATCTGTTCTTGGCATTGCACAGGTTACTTCTGTTAGCTTTGCTAATTTATCAGCCCTGATAGAAGTTTGTGCGTGTCAAAAGTCATGCTGTGCAAATTACTTTTAAAATTCAACTCATGTACCACACTGAAGTTGTAGCTTCAGTCCCACTGGAAACTGGGGATAAATCACAGTTCTACAGTCCAGCAATGGTGGAGTAGGATGAAACTTTCCTTGGTTGTTGCCATAATTTCCATCCCTATCAGAAGCACTGGATGAGGGAGAATTTCTGACCTGGTGAAAGGAGAAGGTAAGATTCCAGTAGGCGATTCATCCGTTAATGCTGCATCTTGCTGCAGGTTTTCAGTGGTCTTCAAACAGGTGTTTGAATTGAAATGTGGAATCGGGATCCCAGTCTCCTTTACGTCTGCATATTCTACTGGATGAAATGGATATGATGTGATATGAGTAAGGTTCCCTCACCCTCTGCCCAAGGTGGATAAGAGCTCCGCTGTGCAGAGAAAATACTTGTACTCAGCTTTTCCAGCATGTATTTTTGTGTGAGTAAAACTGAACCAGTTTGTCTCATGGCTCATTTCTAAAGCTGCACTAAGCTCTTTGGAAACGTGTGGCATTTCACTGCTGTAGGGCAGTTCCTGAAGGCTCTGCTTGGGGGTTCCCATTGGATAGCAGTCCCCACTTGTTCTAGCACACTGCTGGCATGGTTAATGACCAGTAGTGTTTTAGAGCGTGAATGATTCTGACTGATCACTGCAGGAATAAGAAACTTGCCTAAGTTAATCTGTTTTAATCATCTGTAGCAGCAGACACGTGCACACCACGTTGCCCTTCACGCTTGTCTCTCCTTCCTAATTGTTCTTACAATTGCCTTATAGGTGAGACGGATTTTGTAAATAACACATAAGGTGTAAATTGTCGTGCAGCTGGGGATGTTAAGTGTAAGAACAGACTGAGGAAACTGCATATGAATAGATAGAGGGCATTAACCGAATTTATAACTAACCAACCTTGTTTCCGTCACAGAACGGAGTACCAGCATTTCTTATCTGTGTGGTTTGATTGTGAACTCATGTGCCGTACTTTCAATGAGCAGTAACTCCTATGTTTGAATGCACAGCAAGGGCACTGCAGCCCTACTTCAATGACAGAATGGAGAACCTTGATCTGGAGGAGCTCAGGTACGAGGAGCAGCACGTTACCAGGAGTGCTGCTTAGAAGTGCGTGATCTGAAAGCACAGATGAGGTTACTGTCCCTTTGTTTGTGAACAAAAGACCTCTGTTGAGACTGAAAACCACTTTGTCTTTTTCTGCATATTGTAGTCACCCGAATTAGATGCACTCCAGGTGAACATCTCTGCCATTTTTTTCTTCTGGTTTTTGTCTGTCAAGAGCTGATTCCATAACTCCAGAGACAACAGATAAAAAAGATTTATAGAACTGTGGAAGTCTTTTTCTCCATGTACAGGTCCTCTCCTTAGAATAGTTCAACTTGAGCTGCGTTTCTAAGAAACAGCAAGAATTTGGAAGGATTTCCTGAATGAGGGTTAAAACAGAGATATGGCAGCATTTGAATTGGGCTGGTTTTTTTGCTTACCTGTTTTTTTTTCCTACTCCTACATGTGCCTTTTCCTTTCCAGTGTAGCCATATCTGGAGGTTCTGACCAGACTGAGACTTGTGAGGGTCAAAATCTTGAGGAACAGCAGAGAGATGCTTAGCAAGCTGATGTGACTTAGAGTTAAGGGTCTTCTGAGTCTACTAAGAAATCCCACCCTGTCTTTGTCTGTCTTCTCAGTGACACTGGTATCGCATTAAAGTTCAGTGATTGAAGGATAGGAACCTGCAGGGAACCTGCTTTGGCAGGGGGTTGGACTCGATGATCTCTGGAGGTCCTTTCCAACCCCTACAATTCTGTGATTCTGTGAACATGGGTATTTCCTTTGTTCAGCCTTATTTACATACAAACTACTTTTTGGAGTACTGTATGGCAAACCTGCAAGGTCCTGGTGGGAAAGTATTGCCATGCTAATTCCTCTGCTTGGGATTACAGGAAATAAGTTTGTTTTTTTTTCTCCATGCTGACATCTATGCAGCCCCTGAAAATAGTTAACAGAATTTGGGTGCTTCCATATCAACTAATTGAATTTGTTTGGCTCAATCAAGCAGCCCGCTCTACTGAAGCCAGTGGCATCAGGTGGGACACATATTTGGCTGAGCTTCACAAAAATTATTGGCTCCACACTTGGTTGTACAGTGGGGAACACAAAACCACTGCAAGATTCAGCTTTCACACTGCTCTGTTTAGCTTTTCAGCACATAATCTGGACCACTGGCTGTAAGCAGTGCTGCAGTTGCTGCTAAGATTTAAGCACATCTCCTGATCTTGAGATCTTCTCTTTGTCACCTTCTCACCTTTTCAGCAAGTCTGGAGGAAGCTGAGTGCACCAACCTTTTGCGTTTTCCACTCTAAATGTCATTCATCTTCAAGATTTCCCCGTCAGCCAGGTTAAATAGCATTCCACCACGCTCACTCACTTGCTACACGTTCCAGATTTGCATCCTGAATGGATGCAAAATGGATGCAAATGTGGAGATGATTTATGAATTTCTCAAATGCTTTACCTTGCATTAGATTAATTGTAGATTAGGCCTCCTTCTGTTGTCTTTGTGTTCTCCAGCTCAGCTTTCGAAGGTCTGAATGGCTATGTGATAAAGTGATGAGAGGCAATAAAAACGTAGGGCAAAATCTCATTAGAGGAAGAAAGACACTACGGACTGGAATACAGCCTTTGAAACTTTCTCATCAGCTACTTCTACTGGTTGTAACTTTTGCACACAGAAGCATACAGAGTTACAGTTTGGGGGCCTCATCCACTGAGCGTACTGACAGTTGCACTGCACTTACATTGCTTGTTTGTTCTTTAAACCTTACCAGGACCTCCCCAGAAACTCTCTTGCACACACAGAGTCGTAGGCCTCAAAGTAAAACTGTGTGTCTGGGCTGCTGTGAGGCTGTCAAAGAATTATCCTGTAAATCCAGATCGAGTCACACCTGGATAAGCCACGGAGTGAAACATCCCTGCTGGGTTGCAGTCTGCAGCTGTAGGGAAGTACTGACACTCACTCAGCTTAAAGGCCAAGTATAAATGAAATCAAAACAAAAATCCCAGCAGCTTTGGGAGGAAGACATGTTTTTTAGACTCCATTTGCTCAGTCTAAAAGTGAGTTTTCCTCTCAGATGACCCAGTGGCAATTTCTTCTGAAGATGCTGTTGTTAATGCATGCTAATACATGTTAATGCATGCTTAATTCCTTGTTAACCTGAAGGAGGTTGCAACAAATGCTACTGCTGGTGTGCCGAGCAGCTTCTCTCTTGTGGACACTCTAAGCTGGCAGGGCTGCACCTCTCTGACACCAAACTTGTGCAGGCTTGGAGATCAGCTTTCTAAGAACCTGGAGAGGTTTTTGCTGGCTTCCCCCCATATCTGCTGCTGCGTGAGACTGCTGTCAGCTTTTATACAGGCGGTATATTTACAGTAGCACTGGAGGTGAAGTGCAAAATGCTCTTTGAAGTCTCCTTAAAATCTCTCCCCTGTCAGTTCCCTATCTTAATAATGATGGAGTTTGGGAAAGGTGTACGAACTGCTATCTAGTGTGTATGTGCAAGAGATAAAGTGCACGTGTAGTTATAAAACACTCTTCAGAATCTGATCTCCAGTCTATTAACATGCTGAAAGTGCCTTTTTCACAGTGATTTATAGTCCAGCACAACTATGCAGAATCACTTCATTATGTTTGAATAATGAAAAGAGTGCCATCAAAAAGGCATGTCTCCAGGGATCTCTCTGAGGCAACACTTTAAACAAATGACTTTTTAGATAAATTTATTATGAAGTGTGATGAAAGCCATTTTTCTTAGCAGTCACATCTTGTGAAATCAATGACTTTTGTTGCGCTGTAGTTTTTTTAATCTCTTACATAAGTAAAGACTGAGTCTGTATAGATGATGGTTGATGCTCCGCTATCACCACAGAAAGGGAAAGTAATATTTTAGTGTTTTAATTCTGGTCTGTTATGACTGCTAAATATTTGTGCACTGAACTTACAGCGTAGTCTTGGAAAGTCTCGGAAATGTATTAGTTGCTCTAAAAATTGTTTTTACAGGCAGCTATGAATGTTCATTCAGATTTGTTAAGCTAAAATGTTTTTCTATAAAATTAGAACATTTGCCTAAGACCTTTTCTATCAAAAGAGCACCCTGGTGATATATCTATCAGAAGAGCTTTCCTGGTGGCAGTCTGTTCAATTTTGCTAAGAGGAGTTGGCCAAACCACTCAGAAATCACCCACCTTGGGACTTCCATAATGGTATAAAAACATTTATGTTGCTTTGGCATGTGAGCATCCTTGAATCTCTCATTAAAAATCTAACATTTGATTATTAACAAGACAGACGATTTTCTAAAATCTGTACGGACTTTTTGTAATCAAAGACACTGTGAAAACACGTATTTTGTCATCGGGACACCGATATTTTGAATTAAGATATGCGATGCTGTTTCTTCTGGAACTTCACTGAATTTGAACCTGATGAAGTTCAACATGAGCAAGTGAAGAATTCTGCACCTGGAGAATAATGACTGCATGCATCAGTGCAGTCAGGGGCTGAGCTGCTGCAGAGGCGCTGCACAGAGAAGGACCTGGGGGTCCTGGTGGGCTGCAGGTTGGCCGTGAGCCAGCAGTGCACCCAGGAGGCCAGGAAGGGCAGTGGTATCCTGGGGTGCACTGCAAAGAGGGTGGCCAGCAGGGCGAGGGAGCAGATCCTCCTCTCTGCTGTGTCCTGGTGAAGCCACAGCTGGAGTGCTGCATCCAGTTCTGGGCTCCTCAGTGCACAAAAGACAGGGAACTGCTGGAGAGTCCAGCAGAGAGCCACAAAAGTGATAAAGGGCCTGGAGCATCTTCTGTATGAGGAAAGACCAAGAGAGCTGGGGCTGTTCAGGCTGGAGAAGAGAAGGCTGAGAGGGGGTCCAAGGCAAATGTGGGTGGACTCTTTTCAACAGCAAGTAACAATAGAACAAGGGGCAATGGCCAGAAACTGGAATATGGGAAGTTCCATACTAATGCAGAGAAGAACTTATTTACTGTCAGAATGACAGAATACTGGCGCAGGCTGCCCAGAGGGGTGGTGGGTTCTCCTTCTGTGGAGATACTCAAGACCCATCTGGACATTAAGCTGTGTGACCAATTGTAGGGAACTGCTTTAGCAGTTATTTACAGAGTTTAGCAGCTTACAGAGTTATTTGAAGATGTTTTTGTCCTGAAGTGACCCCTCTTTGACTCTCCTTAAATGAAGTACTGATGGGAGGGTTGGACATGGTCTAATAGAGGCTGCTTTTTTTTTCTTTTTTTTTTTCTTTTTTTTTCCCCAGAGGTGGAAATCATAGAATAATAGAATGGCTTGGGCTGGAAGGGACCTTAAAGCCCACACAGTTCCAACCCCTGCCGTGGACTGGCTGCCCCCCACTCGGTCAGGCTGCCCAGGGCCCTCCAGCCTTGGACACCTCCAGGGATGGGTACCCAGAGTTTGTTTTGTTTTTGCAGCCTTGGTTTTCTTGCTCCCGTCCATGCACATCTAGACAGCATCTCAGTATTCTTCCCAGGCCACCCAGCCCAGCTTCCATTGCCTACATTTGCTTCTTTCCCTCAGTCTGACCAGCAGGTACTTGCCCAGCCATGCCAGTTTCCTGCCTCCTCTACTTGATTTCTTATTCTGGAGGTTGGAGAGCTCTTGTGCTCTCAGAAAGGCATCCTTAAAGAGCTGCCAGCTCTGCTCCGTTCCTTTGTCCCTAAGAACAGCTTCCCAGAGGATCTCATCCAGCAACTCCCTAAGCAGCCTGAAGTTTGCTCTCCTGAAGTCCAGGGTCCTGACTGCTCTTGCCAGGCACATATTCCTTGAGATCACAAATGTGACCAGGGCATAGTAGCTGCAGCCCAACCTGCCTCTAATCTTCACCTCTTTACTGATCTCTTCTGAATCCTTGAGCTCTCTGGTCCAGTAACCCTTCTCCTCTGCTCAGTTTGTCTAATACCTGGGCAGGCAGTTATTGTCAGTGGGCTCTGGGAGTCTGCTGGACTGCTTGCAGCTCACCGTGTTGCTTTCTCAGAAGACACCTGGATGTTTGAAATCCCCCATCAGGATTAGAGTCTGCAACGCTTCTTGCAGATAAAGCAAGAAGGCCTCACCCACAGGCTTCCTTTGGTCGGGCAGCCTGTAGTGGACCCCGACCACTGCAAGATGTCCTTTGTTGGTCCAGTCCCCAATTTTCACCTACAGGCTCTCAGTCTGTCTGTGGCTGTTTCTCAGAGGCAGCTCTTCACAATCTATTGATTTCTTAGCTTAGAGGGCAACTCCAGCACTGGAACAGGTTGCCCAAGGAGGCTGTGGATGCCTGGCATTCAAGGCCAGGCTGGATGTGGCTCTGGGCAGCCTGGGCTGCTGGCTGGTGACCTGCACATAAAAGAGGGTTGGACCTATTGTGGTCCTTTTCAACCCAGGCCATTCTATGATTCTGTGATGATTCTATGATTCTAAAAACCTATTAGCTCTCAATCATAGCGTTCCAGTTGTTTTGATTTGTCCCACCATGTTTCTATGATAGCAATTAGGTCATAGATTTCTAACAATGACTCCAGGGGAAAAAACTCATTGTCTTTGTCTTGTGCTGAAAAATACAGGCATGTCCATCTGTTAAGTTTTTGTGTTCAATTTCAGATACTCTTGTCTGAAACACCTTAACAAATATTGTGATTGGAAAAGCATCTTGATGTAACTCTAGATTCTTTTCCTGAAGTAACCACTGATTCTCAAGCCACTTCATTTCCATACCTTGAAAACAGAATATTTGCTGTCTTTCATAAAGAGCATTGAAATCTACAAATGCAAAGTGATACGTAAACATCTGTAATAATGTAGTGGGTGATATTCTGCAGGGGTATAAAAAGGGGGGACCAAAGATGCTGGGAGAATGAACTGACTTCTGTAGCTGCAGCTGAGCTCTTTATCTTACCGTGGCAATTTGCAACTCAGAATTTGGTGGTGGGGAGACCGAGTGTGCAGTCAAGTGCAGTCAATTAGAGCACAGCCTGATTGACTGAACCTTAAGAAAACATATTCTGTTTGTGTTTGCATTAATGTAAAGGATTCTCAGCCATGAAGTATGCGTAAACGTAGTGGGGTTTCTATTTTCAAGCTTTAATTTTTCCTTCTCTGTTGTCTTCCAACTGCCATCTGAAAGAAATCCCCAGTGGGATTAATTCTAAAAGTCCACGCATATCTACAGCAGAAGAAAAATCTTTTGTCTTTAAATACGCGTGCTGCAGAAAAGAAACATTATGCAGCTCAGCATCAGACATTTGCTATGACATGCAGTGGTGGCCCCGTTTAATTCCTCCTAGTGGGCAAAACTGGTCCAGCAGTCACCAGTCTGTGAGCTGACTCCTGGCTCACTGAAGCACTGAGTGCAGCACTGAGAAGCTGCTTTTATTTCTGAGCCATTTGGTGAGTGCGCTTTGATCGCTTTGAAGCGCTGGGGGGAGGTGCAGCCTTCTCCTCGCCAGGAGATTAATCATCTGATTTTTGGCATCTCAGTAATTACTGCTGGCAAAAAAAAAGCAGTTGTTTAAATAGAGGCAATATACTGCAAGCACACTTAACTTTCAATGACTTTGTTTCAGCCACTTGACTGTTCTTCGTGGGCATTTTTACAGTCAGCTGAGGACTTGTAACCAAGCCTTTGGTGACAGCTGTCAGCTCCAGATTGCCTCTAGCAGGCAAGGGTGTGATTGCAAGAGGCTACCATTGCCTTTGGCTTCTGGCCTTCTTGTGCTGAGCGTTCACAAAGGGATGTGCACAGCCCTGACTGCTGCTGGCTCTGACTTCCTCTGCATTCTGCTGACCTTAAACTGCTGCTGTGATGGACTGAAGTAGCCCGAAGTGGGAACCTTTTGTCCCCAGCCAAAGCAAAATGTTTATCAGCAGCTCCTCTAAAGCCATTACTGTTGCCCAAGTCTCTCCTCCTGCTGTCTGCTGCCTGCAGGAAGGCAAGGAAAGCTGGCGACCAGCCTGGGTGAATGTGCTCTGCTCTGACAGCCACGTTAATTACCTGCCCCAAACCTGTGCTACCAGGAGAAGCAGCTGTCGGTTCTGAGACCATCTGTAGGCACAAGGCAGGATTTGAGGGAGCTGCCTTTCTCTATGACCTCTTATAGCACTTGTAAGCTTTGTTTAGTGATTTATCCAACCTTCCGATGTCCCTGACAGTTTAGTACTTCCCAATGCTTTAACTACCAGATTGTCCATGAATAGATCAGGGTTACCGTCCATTCCTATAAGGCACGTTGAACAGAAGATTTGTTTTAAAAACATGAAACAATCAGGTTCTGAGCTAATATGGGGGCTTCTTGTTTGCATGGGCTTCAGCTCAGGCTGCACAAGGAGCCAGAAGAATTTCTGCTGTGGATTCTCCTGTATGTTCTTGCAGAGATTCTTTGAACACCAATAGTTCTGTTAACATCCCTATGAGTGAAGCTGTGGTTGAGCACAATCCATGTAAAGTTGTTACATTTGTCTGAGCTAATTTTAATCTATTTCAGGGTTTCTGCTCAGCTCTGCCCTTTCTGTTCCTGAGCACCTCCCCATCAGTGGCTGCGGGCACAACTGTGTGCCTGGGGACTTGGTTCTATGGGAGCTTCCAGCTCAGGTTTGGGTACTGAGTGTTCCGCAGTTTCCCCAATCAGAAGGAGGAAAAAAAGACAGAAATTCTCAGAGTGACTGCTGCCATTCATATGCAGAGCCTGGAGCCTATGAGAGCTCATTTATGAGGCATCGGACAGCAATCAGCACCAGATCATTCACAATGTCTTTGCAGTGTTCAGGACCAGGTAAATCTGACTGATTTTTTGCCTTTGTGACTAGTTGTGAGCATAAATTAATCTCTAATTTGAAGGGAATGCTGCCTGTTAGACGGAAATGTGGGATGGAGTTTGGAGGGGGCAACCTGGGCCTTTTTATTCCATTTAAACATTAAAACGTTCCATCTGTACTTCTACTGTCATCTGCAGTGAAAGCCAGAAGAAGGATTTTGTCTCTTTTCTTTTATATCTAGCATTTCTCTTAACACTTCAGAATGTTGTCACTGTTTTTTGGACAAGAGATGTATGTTTTTTTTATGTTCTGAAGCCATGGAGTTATGCTGGGCTAATGCTTGTGCCTGTAGTAAAGTGCCTACAACAAACCCATCCTTCCTGACATAAAAATGTCAAGTATTCTTTTACTACTGTTAAAGAACTTAAAGTTGCAGAAAGAAACTCCTTTCAGGGGTTTTCAGTTATAAAAACTGCTGTTCTCATACAAACTTCTTTTGCAATGTTGGGAGACCACGTGAGGAGGCTGTCAGAGCAGTTGTGGTTTCTAAAACATGTGGCTCATGAAAGTTCTAAAAGGTACAACTGCTCCTTTACCAGCATGAAAGCTGGAGAGCAGCAGAGCCCCGACAAGTGCAGGGGGCTGTTTGGATGCCACTCGGTTCAGTAGTCTCAAGTCCCAGTGTCAGACACACAGAGCCAAGCCCAGGCTGAGGTTGTTCCAGACCATTGCTGTAGATTACTGAAATATAGGGGCTAGTGAACAACTCCAGTGTCCATATGTGGCAGTGAAAACGAGCTGTTAATAACTGAAAATAGCAATGTCTGAAATTGGAATTACTGACTCTTATTGGTTAGTTTCACCTCTGCCACTTAGAGAGTTGTTGGACGCTCATAACGTAGCTTTTCACACTTTTTACTCTGTCCCTTAAATTATGTCTGTTTGAATGTAACTTCTTGAAGCCTTCATTATTTGTAAGTCTTTAAGTTAGGGTTTAATATATTTTAGGTATGAGAGTGTTTGAATTGTCTGCTTTTCTCCTTTTTGCTTTCATTTAGGGTAAATGACAATTCTGCAAGTTTCTGGTTTTGCCCTCTCATCCCAGCGGTTTGGATCAGTGCTCTGAGGACGTGGGCACAGGAACTTGATGAGTTTCACTTTTAATGTCTTCGTTTGGACGCCAAGCAAATTTAGGCTGAGATGCCTTAGGATGATATTTGCTCTTCTTTATTTAAATTCAAAGAGTTTATCACTACAGAAACATTTCAGATGCTTATTGTGGGAAGCTCATGGAAACGTGCTTTGTTAAATAATGTGTTTTCTATTTTGTTTTGTTTTCTCCTTTTCTTTTGTGTTACAGAATGAATGTAAAAGCTTTAAAACCCGGTATTCACCACTCTGCAGTAGATTTAATAGAGTGGCATTGTATGAAGAGATGCCATGGTAACTGAAGTTGCTAAGACAGTTGGTGTCAAGCTTTTTAATGGTGACTGCTATACTATATTTGGCTTTGATTAGTACAGTCTGAATAGCAAATGGAAAATGTTTACTGGTCTCATTTGCTACCACCTACAGTCCAGAAGTAATGAGATGACAGAATGCAGTGTTGCACCAACTGCCAGCCACTGGCCACCAGGATTGTTCTTTGCAGCACTCCCCTCTCCCACTGGATCTCATGGCATCCTTGTCGCAGCCTTAGCATTTGTGCTGTCCAGTTTGGTGATATGCCACTTGTCTGAATGAAATTTGGCACCTGGAGCCAGTAAAGGAGTCTGCACTTTGTGAGCTGGTGAAAAGTCAGCAAAGTCCTTTCCACAGGAAACTGTTCTTTGAATCTGTGAGTGGAGTGAAAGCAGAATAAAACGGAAACACATGCTGTTTTTTTCTCATGCGTGGGTTAGGTGTACCAATCTCCCTTGCTGTAAAGCTTTATAGATCCTGCTATCAACCGTTTTCACAAAAATGATGCATTTCTGTGTCTCTTCAATTTTTGTTTACTTTTTAAATGCCAGAATAAAAAGTGAAGTCACATCGCCAAGGTGCCATTTTATCATTTAGCTCACTGTGACACAAATGATTTACCTATACACTGAAGTATTACCATTAATTATAGTGAAGCTCCTTGCCAAAACATGCGATAGCAGTTCCAAAATGTTACTCTTTACCTTTAAATCCAGAACTCAACTTGCAGCCATTAGTAGTAGCCTCATGCTGTTAACATGAGATTGGACTGCTTTACTTAAAAGGAAACAGTCACAGAGCAGGGAATGAAATGCTTCTGGAATGAGATGAACAATCCTGTCCACAACGGTTGTAGACTATTGGGAAACTCAGTAGGCAGCTGACAGGCACAACTTGGGTAGGCAGAGCTTAAGGGTGAGTGCAGCTCAGCTCAGAACAGCCTTCTGTCATTCTGTCTTGCAGTTGGGAAGATATAAACAAAGAAGCATGATGAGAAGAAACTGGAGGGAAAGGAAAGATTAAATCAATAGTAGGGAAAAAGTTTTAACAGTGTGATTCTTCAGATAGAAAGCTAGTCTCAAAAGACCCATCACTTGACACATGAAAAATTGGTAGGAGAAAGCAGTAGCAAATAGTTTTCCAGGAAAAATGTTGTATTGACAGGAGGATGGATAAGATGATCACAGTTCATTTAATTAAGTTACATCCAACAGCATCATGGAGTGGGTGAATATATGGGAGGTTTCATGTGGTTTGGGATGGTGTGGATTTTGAACAAACCAGTCAGTAGGTAGCAACATTGCTTTGGAGATCAGCAGATGAAGAAAAACAGCTTCAGCTGAAAGGGCACAGTTTTGACTGAAAAAAATTCATATTCCTTAAAGATTGTCTGTTTTAGAATACTGACATCAAATCTCATTGTCAGTGGATATTTTCTTCAGCAGCTGTATTTCTACTGCTAAAATGCAACACAACAAATTCATTCCTAGGCTCAGTTTGTTCAAGTCAACAAAGTTTTTGTCAAACCACTGTTAAACTTGAGATACTTCAAATAAAGAGTATAACTTGGCTATAACAGCACAAAGGATCAATGTCATCCATGCTATGGAGAAAACAGCCAATACTAAACTAGATGAGCTTGACACGGATTCGAAAGGCGTCTTCTAAAACCTAATTTTTGTTGAATTCTTTGTGTCCTACATTCTAGTAATTTTGTTGACTAAATTATGTGTTTAAATTCCTACAGCATTTGGGTTCCTATGATTATTCATTTGTAAGGCTGCGAATGCTTATTAATGGCTCCTGGCTTGAGAATGAGCGTTTATGCTTCCAAAGCACTGCACATGACTAATTTGTTTTTCTGCTTATTCGAAAGCAACAGGGGTTGTCAAGAAGCCAAATCTACACTGAATTAAAACCACGTTGCTTTGCTTCCATGGAAGAGAGGATACTTGGTTGTTGTAAAAAAAGTCACACTTCAGTTGAGCATCAGTTCATCACCGAACTTACAGAGCGGAGCAATTGTAGAGGTAAGGTGATGAGAAATGCAATTTCTCCCAGGCCATGTTGTAGAGAAACCTTACATTTGTATGGTGCTGCTGATGTCGTATGCTTCCCAGGAAAAATAAAAGATCCTTAAGGTAGCAGCAGAATGCCACGTCAAGAGAACCTGGAGTCTAATTAATCTCAGAGAAATATGAAGCCATAACAAATACCCACTTCATTTGGTTTGATTTGGGCTCTGCCCAGGTTAGCGTGAACCAGAGTGACCTGGTTGTATGTGTGGCCCTGAATGCTTCCCATGTTCTGCTGTATATCCCCACTACAAAGATTCAGTTTAACCTCCAGCATTTGGCAATCCTCGTGTCCTTCTGGCAGTTCTTCAGTCTTCAGAGGAAGTTTGAAGCTCCTCAGTAATGGTTTCACATAGCATCTGTGGATCCTAGTGGTAAATATTTTTGGTTGGCATTCCGTGAAGCTGCCAGTTAGCAGCAGTGACACTTGACAGGTTTCCATGCAGCGGAACTGTGCAGTTAGATTAAATCTCACTGGATTTGTTGCAAGGAGTTACACCGTGGCTAAATGTTTGTACCTCTGCAACCTGTAGTTTTCAGTGTAATTCTCTGCAGCCTGGCAAGTGCATTAATCGTTGTACACAGAGCGAGGAGCAAAAGGTTGCTCGGATGCAGCACAGCTGCTGGGGAAGGATATAAAAAGGCCCATTTAACATTCACAGATACAGAAGAGAAAACAGAACAACCCTGCTGCTGGTTGTAGGGCTGAGCATGAGCAGCTGCTTCATGCGATGCACGGCTGTGCCAGCGATGTGCTGCAGAAGCAATGAATTAAGCTGTAAAGTGCAAGACTGTGCGTGACATCCTGTTTATGGATAGCCCTGGAATGTAGAAGCCATGCACAAGTGCATCCAGTCTGCTTGCTTGCCTGTGCAGCGACTAATTTCATACCTGTGCTATGAAACCCTTGGAACCCTGTAGTGCAAGTCCAAGCGGTTCTCTCCCAGCTGGACAGGAGGAATTTGTATCCCTTTCACTGACACACAAAGCTTGCTGGGTTGGTTAAATGCTCTGGTGTGTTGGATAGTATATGCAGGTCATTGAACTTCAGTAGAACTGAACATGTGGAACAAAGGTGCTTGATGTGCCAAATGTATTCTTCAGCACTGTATCTGAACAAAAATCCTTCTGTCACTCCCTAGAATTGCTTAAAATGCTGATTGCATTTTATAGATAAATGATTGGCTGTCAGTTGTTGGCATCAGGAACACTTCACCACAATGCAGAGCTCTGATTGCCTGGCCAGACATGGGAAATAGGTGCAGGGCTGGAGGAGTGCAGTGTCACTGTGCTTTTTTGTCACTGCTGAGAGATTTCTGTCACCAGGACCCAACAGCTGCACGCAGGGCAGCTCTGATCGAATCACACAGTCAGATGTGGGAAGCAGCAGCGCTTTATGGAGGCTGCCTTCTTACTTTGGAGGTTTCTTAGGTGTTACATAGTTTGCCATTAGCGTAATTGCCACAGCACACGCTCTTGATGTGTAGCTACAGAAAGTAAAACAAGGAAATCCTCACCTTCCTCATTCCTTCCCCTCAAATGAAGTAATTTGAAAAGTGCAGAGCTCTGTTAAAAAGCAGAGTCATCCAGGAAAGGAAATTTGTCCTGAGAGAGGTGGCAGAGGTTTGCTGAGCAGCAAGGCTGTGTGACTCCATCCTCGTGGAAGTGCTCCAGCACTGACCAGACAGATGCACCCTTTGCAGGTCAGAACAGTGGGACCCTGAGCTTCCTCCGTCCAAACAGCTTTGGACCAGACTTTGCTGCTGTCTCCTGCTCTGAGGCTCCATCAGCTATGGCAGCCTGCTTGGAATGGTGCTGCTCAGACCTCTTGGGCAAGTTGCTGCAGGCCCTGGCTGCTGGGAGATCCTGTCTGCTCATCCCAACTCCAATCAGTGCTGCGACTTGCAAGACATGTATACCTTGGCACTAAGGCAGCAGGTTGACTCTGAGCCTTTCTCTAGGCTTACAAACACCAGGATACTGCTCTCCCAGTGTGTGCATGGGTAAGAGGCTTTGCCTTGCAGAGCAGTGTTGCTGTGGCCATGCCTCTTGTAATGAGATAAATAGTGGGAAAATGCAACTTTCTTCAGGTGTGTTTATACTGTGAACCTTCTGTAAACACTATTTTGTAGCAAAGAGGTAATTATTCAACTGTAAGACTAATTAATACATGCTTCAAATTTGCAGACAGCTCTGCATGGGAATTTGACTGCTTACAAAGAAGCTTGTGGCAGATAAAATCATGCCATGTATTTACTTTAATTTTTTCTCCGCTCAGATGCACGTAAAGGCTAATCTCTGTCCTAGAGACAGCATACCAACCAGGGCTGGACAAAGTGCAAACGGTGTGGAGCAAAGCCCCAAGTTACAAGAGGAAGTTTACTTCTGAAAACATTCAGTTCCTTGAAGCACGTGGCAATTAGAAACAATCAAATAAACCGCAGCTACTGACACAACTGGGGAGACTGGGAGACGTGTTGCAGTATGAAATCTCTTCCTCCACCTGCTCAAGTGTGACAAGCAAATAACAACACCACAATCTGTGGCAGCACTGGATGTCACAGAGAGTTTTGAAACATGCTACGGCTGTTTCAGACATGGCCTATTTAGCAATAATAATAATTGGAGTAAACAGTTTTTAGACAAAGCCTCACATGACCAGATCAACCCAGATGTGTTGATTGGTGCTTGGGGTGGGTTTGTGGTTGGACTAGATGATCTCAGTGGTCTCTTCCAATCTCAATGATTCCGTGATTCTATGAAAGATTAAAAAACAGCTAAAAAACCAACCCTTCCTTTAAGGCAACAAGGTAGGGTTTGTATCACTTCTGAGCAAGTTTTTCCTTTCATCTCCAGTTTTACCTTTTATTACCCATCAAAGCTGCCTTCATGAAAATGTGAGAGACATTGAAATCTATCAGTAGCATCAGGATAAAAGATGTTCTCAGCAGTGTGCACGATGTGATCAGCACCAGCAACCACATTGGTGGCTTCCAGCTCCTCCAGTTTGTTTCCCAAGCTGTGGGTGTTGGTGTAGAGGCACTTCAGCTGGGCAGCTGGCCTTGCTGTTTTCTTGGAGGTTAACTCATTATTTCCTTTGAAGCATTTACCTTTAGTCTCCCTATTGCCTTCATCATCATAAGATGCACGTGCTGAATGCCCTTGCTAGCACCTTGTTGCTCTAACTTTGCTGTGCCCTCCCACACCTTGTCATGGGCAGGCTCACTGTCCACCTTTCCCCCTTCAAAAACTGAGGGGTTTAAAGCCCCCTCAGTGAACTCAGACATCTCCTGGGCCAGAATTCTTTTCCCCTTTTGATTCAGGTGGACTCCATCCAAGCCAGGCTCCAAGTAAACCACCCCATAGTCAGAAAAGCCAAAATTCCCTTGGTGGCATCAGGCTGTCAGTCATGTATTTATCAGATAGACTTTCCTGGTCCTCTCAGCATCCCTCCCTGCCACCGAAGGGAAAGAGAACATCACCTGTACTCCATGCACTGCCCTTTGGTATTT